TTCTGGGATGTCAAGGTCATGGATGTAGTGGTTGTACTGCATGTCAAGGGTATCCAGGTCAGGGTGTGCATGGACAAGGTCTGTTAGGACAAGGTCAGTTCGGACAAGGTCAAGGAGGACAAGGTCTGACAGGACAAGGTCAGGTAGGACAAGGTCTGCACGGACAAGGGATGCCAGGACAAGGTTGTATGGGAACTGCAGGTCAAAGTGCCCAAGCTAGCACAGGTAGAAGTCAGGAACCAGGACAGGGGAGTGCATGTTATGGAATGCCATGGATGTCAGGTCATTGCGGTGGTGCCCCAAGTCAAGGAGGACAAGGTCAGGTAGGACAAGGTCAAAATGGAGGCATGTGCATGGGACAGGACATTGGCGTAGTAACACCCCAGAATCAAAGGTTGCAAGATGTGCTGAGGCTGATGGGAGGTTTGGAACCGATGCAGTTAATGCAAGTCAGGCAGGTGATAGGTGAACAGGTTGGCCAGGCTAGAGGTGTACCTGAGATGTTTGGACAAAGGGCCACAAATGGGTTTCCTCAGAGTATGGATCCAATGCACGTACCAGGAACATCCGGGGAATACGTAGGTGACGTATTTGCTAAAAGTGAGAAATGGTTGGGAACGCCTCCAACACCGGATTGTGCAAAGTGGACCAGTAGAGAAGCAGAAATCCTAGGGTGGCAAGCTTACATCTATGATTTAACAGCCTGGGCGATGCAAGCCAGCCTTGAGTTCGGAAGTGAAATCGAGCATGCCTGTAGATGGCCAGATCCGTTGCACTGGAATCAATTAGCTGTGCCGCAACGTGCAAGAAGCAGAAGGTTGCTTGCTATTTTGAGAAGTGCATTTGGAAATCACCCGAGAACTTTGACGTTGATCAATGCATTCAGTGAAGGAATCAACTTGTGCAATGCGGATGTTGGTGTGAATGCAGAGTTGCAAGCTTCGAATGGCTTTGAGCTGGTGAGACAGCTGACCCTGGAGTACAGCATCAGGACGAGGAGTGAGGCACTTAGTTTTAGAACGGCATTGGCAGGAAAGTCTTTTGCACTGCATGGAAACGAAACGAGTGCAAGTACGATTGTGACAGATACAATCAGAAAGATAGACTTTGAAATGGCCAGGTATTCTAAGTTGCTGGGAACACTGTCAAGTAGAATTGATGCCACAGGGTTGCATGTAGCCGAAGCTGACTTGGTAGCTGTTTTGCTACGTAGTTTGCCTGAAGCAGTCAGGACGTTTTGTTTGCATCACACTGGAGGTAAGTCGTACCAAGCTTTTAGGGCCACAGCACTGAGATGGGAACAGCAGCAGCGTGCTTTCGCTGAGTTCCACCCCAAGAAAAATCTATACCAGGTCACCCAGGTGGAAGGTTCAGATGAATCCACTGTGCAATATGATATGTCTGCAAGTGACGGTGATGGAAACTGGAATTTAGATGCAGTAGGGGGTGTGCGATGTGGTACCTGTGGAAGTAGGAGACACAGTTCAAATGCATGTGATGTTGATTTGTCAAAACTGAAGTGTTTCAAATGCCAGAAATTTGGCCACATTTCTGCAAATTGCCCAGAGAGAAAGAAAGGAAAAGGAGTAATTAAGGGCAAAGGAAAGCAGAAAGGGAAGAAAGGCAAAGGCAAAGGTAAAGGTTTTGGCAAGAAAGGAAAAATGAACGAAGTAGGATACGATGAAGAATGGGACAGTGCGGACATGTGGTGGCATGACGATGGTTCTTGGTGGGAGGACCAGTCATGGTATGAAACTGCACAGGTCTGGAATGACAGTTGGAATGAATCTTGGGATTGCACGTGGCAAGAAGGACAGGAGAATTGGGACGAATCTTGGAGTTGGCCTGCGACGGATGATCAGCAGCAGAGTGCGAGTGCAGGTGGAACGACTCAGGGTGTCCAATCCTTAGTGCTGAGTCCCTTGATTTCCGAGATGTTTTCAGGTTTTTCGACAGGTTTGACACTTGAAACTGAAATTTCAGACGTTTTTGACGATGTTTGCAGTCATTTTTCAACCGATGAAACTGTTTTTCATGTCTCAATTGCAGGTTTGCAGTGTTTAGAGTCGAATCGACTTTTCTGCACGTGTCAAAACTGCATGACTATTAGTGATGATTTTGCAGCGAACTTAGAGTGCTGCCAACTTCGAAACGTGAGACTGAAACTCTTTTTCAACAGGTTGCCACCAGCATGTTTTATTTCTGAACCTGAGTTTTTCATCAGTGGAGAATTCGTTCCATTTTCTGACAGTGAATCTGCATGTTCGGTTGTCATGGACACCATGTTTGGAGACGAGTTTGATGACAGTGACAGTGAAACGGAAACGGAAACGTGTCAACTTTGGAATTTAAACTTTGGATGGTTGCATGAATCAACACCACAGGTAGATTCCAATTTGCTGTGTGGCATGTTTTCAGCAGGAAACACCGACCTTTCAGGGACCACTGACAGTTCAGGGACGTTGCATGGAGCCCTACATCGTCCGGTGGCCTTTGATTATGGTTTGCAAGGTGTAGAGGTAGAAGGTGATGCTGAGGTTTCCCAAGACTTGATTTCTTCAAACTGTCATCGAATTCAGTTGCAAACAGTTGGAACTTCGACTTTTCTGAACGTGCAAGATACTGTTTCTCATGAGTTTGAACTGCATAGATACTCACCTGTTTTGCATCCATTGCTTTCAGAAATCATGATGGGTGATGAGAGCCAGCACTGGTGGTTACTGGACTCCGGTGCGGCTGCAACTGTTATGGCCACTGCGTCAAGAGTGACGTATGGTGCATGGGTTGTTAATTCACAAAGTGACCGCTTCCGAGCGGCAAATGGCAGTAAGGTGAACATAGATGGATCAACTACTGTTTCTGTTTGGGTTGGATTCAAGAAGAAAAATGATAATTTGGGAAGATTCCCAGTGTACCGACAGGCAAAGTTGAAGTGCTTGGTTGGTGGCATCAGCCACAACATCATTTCAACCAACACTCTCTGTGAGTGCGGATGGGAATTCAATCAGAATCCAGAAGGTGCCGAGGTTACTCATCTTGCGTCAGGTCTGAGACTTGACAACATTTGCAACTTTGGTGGATGTCCATGGGTTAAACTTGACCCTGCATGGATGTACAGTGATTCTGATGGATCTGCACGGCATGATGATGAATTCATCATGTCAGAGGGTTTGCATGCGGTGCATGGGAATTTGAATCCATTGAGCAGAGCGGCAGAAGCTGCGCTTGAAGCCCATAGGTTGCAGGGACATGTGCCTTATGATCCAAGGTGCACAATATGTGCACGAGGAAAATCGACCTTTCAACATCGACGCCGTCGTGAAGGCGCGCTTGAGACTGAGGTACAAGCCGATTTTGGTTTTCTAACCACTCGTGGAGAATTGGTTGAGGACGAAGCAGACGGAACTATCAAGATTTTGGCTTTAACGGAATTGTCTACAAACTGTGTGGGCTATGTTGTTGTGGGACCAGAAGCAAGATCGGTGAAGAGTTTAATTCAAAAATGGTTAGACCACTTCGGTCTTGCGTCATCGACTTCGTCGGTCGTCCTGCATACTGATGCCGAGCGTGCAGTTTCTGAATTAGTTGGAACCAGTTCTGACAAATATACCTTCTTGGTTCGCCGTGCACGACCTCAACAACACCAAAGCAATGGAGGAGCTGAACGAGCTGTGAGAAGACTTAAGGAATCCCTTGCTGTGTTGCGTGCTGAGATGAACCAAGGTGGTGCTGATGTCTGTTTTACTGCACGTGGACTGCAAGATGTTGCAACCTACATTGCATTGAGCCACAACCATTTTTCCAAAGCTCATGGAACTGACTTTTCTCCATTGGAATATTCCACACAACGGAAGTTGTCTCGACCTTCCTTTGCAATGTTTGGTCAAACTGTCCTTGCCGAATTGCCCAGCAGCATGCGAGCCCAATCACCGAATGAGACGAGAAGTATTGAAGCTGCATTTGTGCATTCAGGTTTGGATACGGGACCAGTTGTGCAAGGTGCTGTCAGAATTGATGCTGAAACTCTTCGAAGAAGATGAAAGCCTTATTTCCAAAGCAAGCAAATTTTTGTGTTGCTTACTCGGTAAGCGGAAGCTCACAAAAAAGCTGCTCAAGCATCTGGCATTTTCTCTAGAGATTGTCTGACTCGATCTGACATAAGTATCTTCAGACAACTCTTAAATCACAAACATCTGTGACATCAAGTGTTTGGCATGTTGAAATGTTTACACATTTTTTGCCAATTCAGTCAGTCATCACAATGTGATCAATCCAAATCATTTGTTGCGTCACTTGCATCAACCTTTCATGATGTTAAGTTATATCTTACCGCAACTTCTACCATTCAAGGTGTGGGTGGGTAGGGTTCCTCAAACATTTTCATGAGGATTCACAAAAACTGCATGGGGGTTCTGTTTGTTTGAAGTTTTGTTGTGTGTGACAAGAGACTGTCAAATTTCATCCTTTTTCAGAACTTCCAGTTTTAAACAGTTGCACCTGCCGGGAAGTTCCTACTGCGAGCCTTTCATGCTGGCCTTGCAGAGCTACAGTGACTGGCTTGGAGCGCATTGCTGTGAGTTTGTGACACGTTCATGAACGGTTTTCAGTTGACGTTTGCCAAAGCTTGGAGTCAACTTCCTGCTGAGTCACCTGTGGTATTGCCCTGGGATAGAGGTTGTTGGAAACATGTTGTAGCTGGGAAGAGCCTCTTTACAGTACAACCTGCAGTTTTGAAGCGTCCTCTTCCTCCTCCAATTGCTTACAGCAGTTCGCCTGGAGATCAGCATCCCCATGACAAACGGCATAGATCTCAGATTTCTGTTGCTACGTCATGGCACCAAGTTGTTAAATCCGGTTGTGAAGACAGTTGGACGGAAATGAGGGACTCGAAGTTTCAGACTGCTCTCAGAAGATGGCTTGACGTTCTTCTGCAGCTTCCCCCAAACTGCGGCATAGTTGTTCAATTGAAACAGGTTGGAGACACTTCTCATCAGTTGAGGATGTTACGTGATATTTTTGCAAAGAAGGCGCCACAGACTTTGCTCACACGTTGTCACTCCTTTTTGCGATTCGTTTGCCACTTGAAGGACGTTGGAGAGACTTTCCCAGGCACTGAGCAGGGCCTCTACGGTTTCCTTTGCCGTCTTCGTGATGCAGGTGCGTCCACGTCAAATTTGCAGAGTGTTGTGCAGGCTTTGAATTTTGCGCAACATGTTGTGGGACTGCCTGAACTCACAGTTGTCACGACCTCAAGACGATGCATAGGAGCTGTAGGCACGAGAAATGTTGGGCCAAAAAGGCAGGCACATCCGTTCACAGTCAGTGAGCTACTCGTGCTTCACTCAGTTTTGCTGGACACGAATGAAGATCCATGGAACCGAGTTTTTGCAGGGACAGTGCTTTTTGCAGTTTACAGCAGAAGCCGGTGGATGGACATGCAACATGCAGAGACCATGGAAGTGGACACAGATTTCACTGGATTTGCAGTCTATGTGGAGTTGCACATTTCAGTTCATAAATGTCAGGAGTCCACAGCTTTTCGAAACACTTTTTTGACAGCTGTTGCCCCAAATTTGGGAATCACTGCAGAGCCTTGGATTCAGGCTTGGCTGGATGTCAGGACACGACTTGGGATTGATTTCAACTTGGGTCTGCCGACGTTGCCAGCTCCCAACTCAGATGGGCTTCCAACCAAGCGGCCATTGAGCACAGATGAGATGAAACATTGGCTGCAACTGGTTTTCACTTCCAAAGGGCTGAGTCTTGATGGACGACGTCTGACGTCACACAGCTGCAAATGCACGTTGTTGAGTTGGTTGGCCAAGCATGGTGATGATTGGGCAGACCGCATGGCTTTAGGTGGGCATGTCTCCTTCATGAAATCAGCGATTGTCTACAGTCGAGATGCAATGGCAAGACCCATCAGGGTTATGGAAAAATTGTTGCAAGACATCAGGCTTGGTCGTTTTTGTCCTGACGAGTCTAGGAGTGGACGATTCAAGGACATCCCAACTGGTGATGCCGCAACTGGCAGCGATTTTGCAGAGTTGAGTTTTGCTGACAGCGGTTTGGATTTGTTCAGTTTGCAGCCGGAGTCCAAGACTGATGCTGCCAGAGTCGTCATTGACCTCGAGGAAAACGATGCAAACGAAGTCAAAACAGAGAGCCATGAAAACAGCAGTTCAGACTCTGATGCGCTTACAACTTCGTCCAGTGAAGATGAAGCAGGGGCTCAGTGCACCGGTGCATCACGCTTGATGCGGCTGCCTACTGTTCCAGACTCTTTGAAGCTCATTCAGCATACAAAGTACAAGACACTGCATTTGATGGAGAAACAAAACGAAAAGATCATGCTTTGTGGTCGAGCCATGGTGCAGGGCAGATATGATGCTGCAGGTGAGGCGCGATTCGACACGCCTTGTTGTCACCAGTGTTGGAAACGTAAGACAGAATATGAATCTTGAACTGCTTGTCGACTTGCGCTTGTGGACAAAAAATGAGTTTGTGAAGTTGGTGTCAACCTTGTGTCTCAGTTGCACTCTCAAAAACAGTTCAGCAAAGACCACACGTGAAGTGAAATTCAATTGGTTCCTGGAGGCATCATGGGCAGTGACCATCTCCAAACTTTGAACCAAACTGATTTTTTTGTGATTGTCACTTCATTCCTGTGGACATTTTTGCATTCTGAACGTTTGAGTTGTGATTAGACATTTTGACACACTTGGACATCACTCGAAACTCATTGCGCATGCTCGGACCGTTTTTTCAGGCACTGTAGTGCTGACGGAAATAAACCGGGGAGACAAGCCATCAACAAGATATGTGAAACATGTTTCCATCGAAGTCATGAATTAACGCCAAAAGGCTGTGACCAGACATTCAACTCTTTTCACACGCCTTGGAAAGGGGAAATGATAGTGGGTCATAGTGGGCCATACGCAGACAGAAATTTATCAACAGTAAGGGCCTCTAATGTTGATGAATTTATCTGACGTCAATAAGATGATAGTGGGTCATAGTGGGCCATACGCAGACAGAAATTTATCAACAGTAAGGGCCTCTAATGTTGGTGAATTTATCTGACATCAATAAGACTGTTTTGTTGTCGCGCGAAACTAGTCGGACCCTGCAGTCGCGTAATCTTAGTTGATCATTCGTTTGACGTCTTGAACTTTCTTAGTTCAGTAAAAAAAAATATTTATGATTCAAAACCCAAAGGTCTTTTCTGGAGTGATTAGAATTCTTAAAAAAACCTCACATAGAAAAATGCTTCATTTTACAAGACTTTCAGATTAGCACCCATCGTACACGCTGTGCGACAAAACATGGCCCTGGTAGACTCAGCAGCATCGTTTGAGAAACGCTGCAATGAGTTGCATGATGGTCTGCATGATGTCTTCAGTGATGCTGGCATTACAACCTTCTCTACATTAGCTTTTGCAGTGGGAACACCGCAGAGTGCGCCAGCTGACGATGAAATGCAAAGGTTCACAGACCGTTTGATGGGTGGACCGGCCACTTTGGCCGACTTGTCTGTGGTCAAGCGCATTCACTTTGAGGCGGTCACCCTGGTCATGGTTGACATACAACAACACTCAACAGCCCAGGACCTTTCTGAACCTGGGCGAAGTCTTCCATTCGTGGAAAAACAACGGCGACTGGCCGTGCAGCAGGCGAAGATCACAGGCATTAGCCATCGGCATGAGCAACAAGCGTCACACGCGCTAATTGACGCGTGCTTTCAGATGGTGGAAAATGGATCCTTGGTGTACTTGGCACCATCGAAGTGCGGGTCCAGAGATCAAGAAATACAACAGGATGCAAAGACGAAACAAAAGCAACTGGTTACCATCGAACAGGGAGCCTTGAAAGCTGTCGCCAATCCAATTTTGGCTTCTGTTGACATTGGGACGGAATTGCGATTGATGTACGCCCTACAAAGGCGTGGGTTGGCATTTGACCTGGTGGGTCTTATGTCATGGGACACCCACAATGAGTGGAGCAACAAACTCTTTAGGGCACTCATGGCCGACGCTGTGCCGAACTTCAATCCCATATCGATTGACCAGTTGCTGAGAGCAGACCAGGAATTGTTCCTCCTCCTTGCGGCAGAGCACACCGGATCTTTGAAGGCAGCATCGGTAGACCAGGATCCTCCACTTGACCAAGAAGTGCGTCGCTTGATGAATGATCCCAGGATCAACGTGCACCTCACTCCAATTCAGAGGATGGAGAAGAGAGCTGCGCCGGCTGGGGCGCCTTTGCAGGGATCTCCGAACAAGAACAACTTCAACAAAAAGCAGAAAGTGGATACACCCAAAACACCAAGTCAGGTGCCAGCTGAGTTGCAAGGACTTCATACGAAAACCAAGGATGGAAAGCCCATTTGCTGGCACAAGAACATGAAAAAAGGATGCCGCAATGCGACCAAGAATGGTCGATGCCGTTTGGGGTATCACACGTGTATGAAGTGTTTGAAGCCTGGCCATGGCGCTGCAGATTGCCATGGAGAAAAAGCCTCATGACAGGCGAGAGAGCGCAGCCGCAGTCCTTGCAGACCCATGGTCAAGCCGTTGGGTACGCAGGACTCAGTGGATCAGACACCAATGCATGGTGCCTTGGACTCCAAGCCGAAACCTCATGGCGAGGAGTTGAAAGGTGGTTGCGTTGTACAACAAAGTGAGTCAACCGCCTCCACAGGGCAGTTTTTTGGACCCTCGACTGAGTTTGTTAGCGAGGAGCCACCTACACAGAATTCAAAGCGATCCTGCCTTGTCTTGGAAATTTTTTCCGGCAGCTGCCGACTTTCTCGAGCGTGTAGAGATGCTGGCTTCAGAGTGACGGCAGTTGACAAAGATGAAACAAGGGCAGAAAATTTTGCTATTTACAAGTGCGATGTCACCAACTCAGAGGACCTTGCACTACTTTTGCAATACATCGAGGCTGAAACGGAAGAGCTGTTGCATGTGCATTTCGCACCTAGTTGCGGAACAGCTTCCAGGGCACGTGAAAAAGCGCCTGGACCGCCACCCTTGAGGTCAGACGCATTTCCAGACGGTCTGCCAGGGCTGAGCGAGCAAAATAAAGCAAGGGTCATTGCTGCCAACAAAAGTTATATTGCAATGTTGACTTTGGCGAAGTTTGTGATTTCTTTGAACATTAGCATCAGTATTGAAAACCCAAAGAACTCACTTTTCTGGAAGTGTTCTTTTGTGCGTGAGTTTCTGGATGGTTTGCCTCGGTTTCATATTTGTGAGTTTCAGCACTGCATGCATGGAGGGAAACGTAACAAATTCACACACTGGTTGAGTTGCAATCCTCGTGAACTGGAGCGAGACATGTTTGAATCATTGCATTTATTGTGCGACCAGCAACATCAACACGCCAGCTGGGCACCTTACATCGATGAAACTGGCAAACAGGTTTTTCCAACGGCGGGCGAAGCTGCGTACCCAGAGTTGTTGTGCCACCGTATAGCTTGCATCCTCAAAGAAGAAGCGTCCAAGCACAATTTCCATTTTCCGAATGATTTGACAGAGCAGCTGCAAACACATCCGAATGTGGCAAAAAGACAGATTTTTACAACACAGCCCCGAGGCAAACGCCTTAGGCCGTTGGTTTCTGAATTTCAAGCTTATCGTTCTGTACTTTTTCCATTGAATTCCGAACATGTCATTCAAAAATTTTTACAAGACCTACCAAAAGGTTCAAGAATTTGTCATCGATCTCTCACCAATGGGGGCATTTCCTGGGATGACAATTCTGCAAAGGAGGCTGGTCTTTCAGCACATGACAGTTGGGTTGATGGTCAAGCTGGAGAGATTTTGCATTTTGGTATTCCAAGAGAACCAGAAGACTTCATCAGAGAAGCCATTTCGAAAGGGCATCCTAGAGATGTTGTTGCGAAAGTGCCAGCAACTGTGCGAGCGTTGTTGAAAGATTTGGTGCATGGAAAGCCCGAGAGACGCTTTGCCAAGCGTGCTGCCTTTATGAAGAGATGGTTGAAGTGTTCCTTGGAACTACGATCAGACGAAGAAAGGCTACATCAACAAATGCCACTGCACTTGCGCAAGATCCTCAAAGGGAAACGCCTCCTGCTGCTCAGAGAAATTCTGACAGATTTGCAATATCCAGATGTTGGAGTAGTTGATGATATAGTATCAGGTTTCAAGCTCACTGGATGGGCGCCTAAAACTGGCGTATTCGATCCTGATGTTCGTCGCCCACAACTCTCAGTCGAACAGCTTGTCAAAATGGCACCAGGCATAAATGCTCGGGTCATCAGGTCAGTTGAAGAAGCTCCTGCAGACCAAACCACGGATCACGTCTGGGCCGAAACGTGGGCTGAAGTTGACAAGGGATGGCTGAAACCAGCCTCTTCATCGAAGAACTGCTTTGTTGCCAAACGCTTTGGCTTGCAACAGAAGTCGAAGATCAGGATGATTGACGATTTTAGCGTCAGCAGAATAAATCACACCCATGGCATGCGAGAAAGACTACGAGTGCAAGCAGTGGATGAGCTCTGCGCTTACCTTGCTACTTTGCTTGATGATCACCAACCTGGTGACCTTCCAAAGATGAAGGGCAGAACGTTTGACTTACGTTCGGCCTACAAGCAGTTTGGAGTCGACCAATGGCACAGCGATTTCTTGCAAGTTTGTGTCAAGAACCCGGCTGGAGGCCATGGATTATTTGGGGTAACTGCCCTACCTTTTGGGGCCACTGGAAGTGTGACAAGTTTTCTCCGGGTTTCAAATGCGATAGCGCACATTGGACACCATGGGCTGGATATCATCTGGTCGGCATTTTTCGACGACTACATCGCTATATGCGCTGATACTGAAGAGGATAACGTGACATTTTACATCGAGTCTTTATTTCGCATGCTTGGCATTGATTTTGCAACTGAAGGGGACAAAGCGCCACCGTTCAAAGAAGAGTTCAAGACATTGGGTCTTGAGTTTGACTTGAAGAACCTTTGCATCGGAAGTTTCCGTTTACAACACACTGAAAGTCGTAGGTCTGAACTGGTGACCGCGATTGGAGCCCTGCTGGACAAGGCGAACACCACGCCAAAAGAACTTGAACGTTTGCATGGTAGGCTTGTATGGTTTAATGCATTTGTTTTTGGAAGAAAGATGAATCACGCTGTCAGAACCCTCTCCCTTGCTTGTCACTCCACAGAGAAATCCTTGCGTTTGGCGGGGGAGTTGCGAAGAGCTCTTGCACGTTTGCAAGGCTTGCTTGTTGACAGCCGACCACTGGAAATCAGTAAAGCCTTGTGCAACACTTGGGTCATTTTCACTGACGGAGCTTATGAACCCGAATCTGACCATCCTTCGACGGTGGGTGGTATACTCATCAGCCCCTGCGGTGTGGCAACATCATATTTTGGAGAAGAGCTATCTCGTGCACTGACAGAAGAACTATTGATTGATTCACAGCATCCAATATATGAACTAGAAGTTCTTCCTCCACTTCTAGCGATCAGTGCCTGGAGCCACTACATTTCAGGAGCGCCTGTGATATTTTATTTAGATAATGACGCGGCCAGATCGGCCTACGTCCAAGGTGTCGGAGCGACACGATTTGCAAAAATTTTCACTGAAAAATTTGTCGAGCTTGAGAGCCGCTTGAGAGTCCTATCATGGTTCGGACGAGTACCGAGCCATAGCAATCCTTCTGACAAACCTTCACGCTTAGACTTTAGCGATCCTCTCTTGAAGAACTGCAGCAGAACCAAGATCCAACTTCCAGTACACTTTGAGGAAACAGGGGGTGGCTTCGGGTGTACTGGAAACCAAAGCCCATCTCCCTGGGCTTCCAGCATACAATCCTGAGACTTTTCCCCATTGTCCTCGATGAAAAAAGGTGCTGCCGTTTGGAATCATTTGGAACAGTTCACATGTTGCATGTTCTATCATTTCACAATGTGAACCCAGCTGTGTCGAGTTTGCTGCCAGTTGTACATGTTCCTTTGAGTGATTATTGTTTTTTCGATGTCCTGAACCTGTTGGCGCAACGACGTAACCCGACATAGCGCGGCGAATTATATACAGTTATACATATACATGAGACATACACGTATCAACTAACATGTCAGAAGATTGTCCAGAAATCGTATCTATGTCCTTGCCGGGCTTGTGCTGCGATTTGCTAATGTGGAGATAAGCTGAAACTCTTCGAAGAAGATGAAAGCCTTATTTCCAAAGCAAGCAAATTTTTGTGTTGCTTACTCGGTAAGCGGAAGCTCACAAAAAAGCTGCTCAAGCATCTGGCATTTTCTCTAGAGATTGTCTGACTCGATCTGACATAAGTATCTTCAGACAACTCTTAAATCACAAACATCTGTGACATCAAGTGTTTGGCATGTTGAAATGTTTACACATTTTTTGCCAATTCAGTCAGTCATCACAATGTGATCAATCCAAATCATTTGTTGCGTCACTTGCATCAACCTTTCATGATGTTAAGTTATATCTTACCGCAACTTCTACCATTCAAGGTGTGGGTGGGTAGGGTTCCTCAAACATTTTCATGAGGATTCACAAAAATTCCCGCCCAATCATGATCCCACCCTTTTTATGAATCCTTTTATTTTTTACAACTACGTTTCACACGTAGCCTTGAAACCAAAGCCCATCTCCCTGGGCTTCCAGCATACAATCCTGAGACTTTTCCCCATTGTCCTCGATGAAAAAAGGTGCTGCCGTTTGGAATCATTTGGAACAGTTCACATGTTGCATGTTCTATCATTTCACAATGTGAACCCAGCTGTGTCGAGTTTGCTGCCAGTTGTACATGTTCCTTTGAGTGATTATTGTTTTTTCGATGTCCTGAACCTGTTGGCGCAACGACGTAACCCGACATAGCGCGGCGAATTATATACAGTTATACATATACATGAGACATACACGTATCAACTAACATGTCAGAAGATTGTCCAGAAATCGTATCTATGTCCTTGCCGGGCTTGTGCTGCGATTTGCTAATGTGGAGATAAGGTGAATTAGTTCTGAAGCGCTTTGTTGCAAGGAATGTCAAGCCAATCACACCAATCGTGTGGAATCAAGTCATTGGTGATCACTTGTTTTCTGAGATTGAAGGTGGACAAGTTCAAGGAGAACCATTGCCAGCACGCGAAGGAATTCGCATTGAGCCGGCTGCCCCGAATGTTGAAAGACCAAGATTACCTGATGCCAATGTTGAGCAACCTATGCATGATGATGTTGTTGAGTATCCAGATGGTGCTCCAGGTGATTAGTGCGAGAAATGAAAGAACCTGATCCAGGCTTCCGAGCCCCTATGCCCAAGAAGAGACCTGTGGAGTCAGCTCCATCTCAACCGAGAAAGCCAGGTGAATTGAAGATTGCCAGACAAGACCCAATTCGTGCATCTACTTCTGATGGACCTGCATTGCCTAAAGCGTCTCCGAAAGTGTCACCAAAGTCTCCGTCTCCGTCTCCAGATGTTGCTAGGTCAGATGTGCGTGTTTTCCCAAAGACACCCCGGTGTCCTGCATGTGATTCTGGAATGGATGTACCTGGAATTAGGCATAATGCTGAATGTAAGAGAAAACGTGCTGCATTTGAGGCGAGTGAAACTCCCGTTGAAATGCCAGATGTTGTGCCTAATGTTGCAAGACCGAGACTTGAGGTAAGGCATGAAGATATGGAGGTTGAGACTGAGAATGGCCCAACTCCGGTTGGCGCAGGTTCAAGAGAGGTTGGTCTAAGTATGGACACTGAAGGTTCAGGCGTGAAGAGAGAAGCAGAACAGTCTGTGCAAGATCTAGAGGATGAGATGGCTGCTGAACGTGCAGCTGGAACTCAAGAACCCATGACTCTTGATCTTTTTCACATGGACAATGCATGTCATGCCTTAGGACCTGTTGCATGGTGTTTGGAACAAGGACCAGAGAATGCACGAGCCACGAGTCCTGAGTTGTTTGATGCCGAGCTTAATTCAATTAAGTTTGCACATGGGAAGGATCACCAGTGTGTGAAGGTGAAACTTGGTGGTTCAGAAGTGCTGCTATGGAAACCAGATGAAGTGATTGATGACAGCTCGCT